TACAGGATAATTCTAGAAAGGAGAGAGCGTGAGAATCACATGATCTCGATGACGCAACAGTTGATTAGATTTCTCTCTTCCATTATGAATGACTTAATAACAACGTTATTTTCAAAGAAAAATAAACATCTAAGACTAATCCAACAAAACCAAATAATTTTAAATATCTCCCTCGAAAAGTTCCCAGTTGAATCAGACATCTCATGTAAAGAAAAGAAAAGAAAGAATGTTACTCAAGACTTGAGAAGAAATGGAGAAATATATATGACAAACGAACCACTAAGTCAGAGAGTTTTGTTACAAACACTAATAGCGATTATGAAAACATGACAACAGTAAAAATAGTAAAGTAGCAAATGACCTCGCAATTTCGACTTCCTCTTTGAACCTAATAGCTAAAGGAACTGGTTTTGCAGTAACAACCAAACTTTCCAACCAAGCATATCTAAATACGTTGGCTTTCCTTGAACAAACATTTTTGCTACATTCGATGGAATCACTTCTATGAAAATAGAGAAACAACTAAACCTCTGCTTACTACGAATAGCGAAAGTAGCTGTAATATTCAAGCAAAATATCACAAACTCAAACTCTACTACAGCCAATATTGATTAAGACATGAATTCCATTTCTGAAAGTTGTTCAATAACAGATGCAATAAATCATTCAGTTTACAAATGTCTCAATAAACAACCTTTTCATATCACCTATTGACAACCTTCCCACGCTAATAAAAATATTGAAACGAAAATCGCGGATGTGAGGAAAAGGATCAGGAACGTTTTACAAAGATATAGAGATCATCAAGTCATGTCAAACTTACATCCCCAAGGACAGTTAGCCCTTGAAAAGCTTAAAAGAGATAATAACATCATCATTAAAGAATTGGACAAATGTAAAGGTTTTGTAGTTAAGAGCAGAAACATTTACGAACAAAAAATATTTTATCATCTAAATTCTAAAAGACGAGAATAAGTTTCACATACTTAACACAGACTCCACAAAAGAAATTGAGACGAAAGCTAAATATATTATCTATGAACTTACAAAAACAAAAACCTTCCCTAAGAAGTTTCTAGATGAACTTAAACCCTCTAATAGCCGCATTACAGAATTATACGGTTTACCAAAAGAACATTGATCGGATATTTTAATTTCGATGACGAGGAACCCACTTCGAGACTAATAAATCGGATATGTCACTAAACCCGTAGTCTCAGCATGTTGCCACTGAAAGTCTGTCTTGGTTTATGCATACAATTTTAGTGCGTTACTAATTATGAAATCGTGTTCCAGCACACTTAAGTAATACACACGACCTGTTATCGCAAGGATGTGCCTCACATAGTGAAGAACACAATACTATTCACATTGGCCGTCGTAGCTCTCTACGTCACTATACAGACAAAAATGGCATCAATGTAGTGTATAAATTCACGTCGAATCACATAAACAATTCGGGAACGTACGGACTGACATCAGACACTGTCAGGAAAATCTTACATTTCATCCTTCACAATAGCTATTTTCATTTTGACAACAAACTATACCCACAGCTAAGTGGTGTCATAATGGGTAATAGAGTAACTGTTATTAATGCCTAATATACTGTTGCGTCATCGAGATCACGTGACTATTCCCACGCCCTCTACTTTCTAGAACTATCCTGTACTTTGGCGAATGCTCTAGCATTTATTAGATATAGGGTAGTCTGGTATATAAAAGAGGATGACAACGTAACAATAATGAAATTAAGTGTATCGTAAAGTTGTATTCGGAAAGAATAAACCAGTTTTATTAAGTAAAGACTTGTGTCGTTAAAGTTTCGTCGGAACGAAGTTACGGAAAAAATCAATTAACAAACGGAGACGTAACAATATATACTCGTATATGCACGTTTTTGAAACAACGGCACTTGACAAGTGGCATCAAAATATCAACACTAGCCCTGATCTATGGCTTAGATACATCGATGGCGTGTTTGGACTGTTTAATCAAATTTTTAGACTATAAATTCCATAGACATCTAATTCACTCTGAATCACTCGAATGATAAGAGTATATATTTTCTTAACGTTATCTTAAAGATCGGCAATGACAATAATTAAAAATCTACTATGTTCCACAAACCAATTATAAAACCTATTTTATTTAACTTAAACTCCCATCATCCTAAAGCTTCCAAGAAAGGTGCAGTTATTGGAAAATTAAAAAGGAATCGATCGCAACTGTAGTGGAAAACACTACATGCTCTGAACAAAAATCACTCCTTTTGAGCAATGAATGCCCACAAATTTTCAAGGACTATGACGCTCAAAAATCAGTATCGCACCTCCAACATGAAAAGCACAGACAAATAAGGAAAAAAGACAATTTTTCAAAGATAACACAAAATAGATCACTTTTATGCGACCTCTAATTAACGAAACTATCTCCAAGAAAATAAAAACTATAATCAGGAAATCTGAACTGCAGATTAAAGTTGTATAACGGCCAGGTCCAACTCTAATAAACCAACTTTCAAAGTCTTGGTACACTACCCTACAATGTAATAAAGCCCATTGTCTTACAAACGCGTTTGCAATCTAAAAAGGGCTATCTTGTCTCCAATACTGTTTACCAGCTTGCATGCAACATATGTCATCATACACTAGGGAAACTGGAAGAATTCCACACACAAGAATAGGAGAACATATTGACTCTTTTTATAAACAACAACACAAAAGAAGCACAGTTGCAGATCATGTTTTACCTCATCATGGACAAATAACACCTGGCATAGAATAATTATGGGTAAAAATCAGTTAGATTAGCAACTTCTAATATATAGGAAAGCCAGTGCGTTTTGGTAACACTATGTTCCAAAAATGGCTTTTATATCATGTTGCTTAGCAACAATAGGATAACTTAATATTGTTGTTAGTATATGTATTGAAAGTATAAAATGAAAAAATATTTGTTGTATTTCTTAGTTTAGAGTCTCGGTTGATTAATTAAAGAGGTTTAGTTTTTATTAAAAATGTTGGTGATATAACAGAAAATAGCTT